CTTATTCCACATTAGAAAGAAAAAAAAGGACCAAGGGTATAAGAAACTAGATTAGTTACAGGACTGAAAGAAAAGATGTTCTCTTTGAATTTTATACTTAGCAAACATACCTTTGAATTAGCTCAGTTCTTTAAGTGGCCGCTTCAACAAAGCAGTCAGGCTCAGGTTGCTCTGGTTCGATCCCCACAACTCAAGCCAGCCAAACCTGCCCTGAAGGCGTTCGGAGCCCTGCCCCCCAAAGAAAAGATTCTTATTTCCAAGAAGCTGATTTTAAATCGACCCTGGGAAAAAAAACAACAACTTAAAAACACCTTTGGGATCGTTCATGTATCTTGCTTGTTTGTTTGAAACAGGGTCTCTCCGTGCTGTTCAAGCTGGCCTTGAACTCACTTTTGCATAGCCCAGGCTGGCCTCAAAGTCACCGTGATCCTCCTGCCTTAGTCTCCCCTTTCCCTCAGTGTTGGGATTACAGCCGTGTACCACGACACCCCGGCTCCTGCATATATCTTATCATCACATCTTCTCAGCTTTCTAATACTTGATTCTTAAATGCCACCAGCTGGAAAGAAATGCCACCAAGACAGACGGAACAAAGGAACTCAGAAAAATTAAGGACAGATGAGGAAGCTAAAAAAATCTTCAAAAAATACCTTAATATTGTCAGTCTGTCAAAAGATACCACCTTCTCCATAAGACAGGTGTGAAGTAACCACAGGAATTATACGAGGTACAGATAGCATTGAGGAACTGTGCCAGAAAGCAATAAGATAGATCACCAGAAAATAGGGAAAGTTTTTATTTATTTATTTATTTATTTATTTATTTTGCGGAACCGGGGATTGAACTCAGGCCTTTGCACTTGCCAGGGAAGCACTTATTCCACTGAGCCATCTCCCCGGCCCCTTATTTTATTTTTTTAGGCATGCAAAGCTTTATTTTGTTTGTCTTTGAACTTTTCCCCCCATAATTTTATTGAGAAACAAATAGCAATGAGACAGTTTCAAATCAAATTAGTAGGACAGTTTCAATAGTTAATTGCATATTGTTTTCTTAGTGGTTATTTGTTGCACAAGATGTAGACATGATATCCTATTTACAAACACTATTAGAACAAATCCCTGTATTCGTTGAATTAAGAGAATGTAGTTGTATATCTATCTTAACTATTTTGGATATACAGCCACAAAATGGTCATTCATTTGTATCCTTTTTTTTTTTTTTGTTCAGTTTTGTCATTTAAATATTATAGGTGTGTGAATTCAGCAAAATATTCCAAAATAGTCCAGTAGTCCATAGTAGTATTGGGTTTTCTGTATGACTGGCAATGTCAGAAGTTGTTGACTTGAGTGGGAAAGTTTTTAAATGGCAGGAATCCATTCAATCTAGGAATTCAATCTAGGAATTCAATCTAGGAATTCCAACACTCAAATAACAGGAATTCCAAAAAGATACCATGGAAAAAAGCAGAGAAGAGGTGATTAAAAGACATAATATAAAAAATGATCCCAACACTGAGGATGTGTGGCTCAGGACTGAAGTAGCCCAGCAGGAGGCTCCTAAATGAGTGCCCAAGCATGTGGCACAGGTTCTGGTGTACTGGGGAAAGGAGGGTCACTTAGCATGCTCAAGAATCAAGGACAATGAGTTTCTCAATGAGTTTCTTTGGAGTTGCAAGAACCAAAGCGGTCTTTAAATTCAGAAAAAAGTTACTTGGCTCTCTTATTACCTAATCTCTTCATTAATGTACTACCACTAAAAAAGAAATCTCCCATATCAAACCATCTCAGGGAATTTACAGAGGATGTGCATCACAAGACAGGCACATACACCTTGTAATCTCAGCATTCTGGGAGGCTGAGGCAGGCAGAATGTAAGTTGAAGCTTCGTGTAGGCATTTTTTTAAAAAATGTATTTGGTACAGGTTTTTATTATGCAGCTCAGACACATAGTGATCTTCCTGTTTTCAGCCTCCCCAGTGCTGGGATTACAGGCATGCACTAGCACACTTTGACTTTGTCGCTGGCTCAGTGTTCCTGGGGTGGGACCAGCATGGCAATCAGGACCCAGGATTGAATCCCAGTCCCTGTGCTTGCCTAAGCAGGTGCTTATTCTGCTGAGCTATCTCACCAGCCCTATTGTAGGCAATTTAATGAGACACTGTCTTAAAATAAAAAAAAAAAATAAGGCTGAAAATGTAGTTCAGTGCATAGACCTTAGGTTCATTCCCAGTACCAGAGAGAGAGAGAGAGAGAGACCCATAAACTGTGGAAGCAGAAGAGTCAGGATTTTGAAAGGTGTGATCCACACAGAAATTCCTAGAAAGTTCCCAAGGAAAGTCTCAGGACAACCATTCCTGTTCAGAGCAGAAGGATACTCTTGGCTAGAATGTTTCCAGAGAGGAACAGATTGAAAAGATTTCCTAATGAGTTTGATTAAGAAAGTACAGGAGGAATTTTATCTTGTTATTGAAGGAGAGTTAGCTATAAGGTGCAAATATCAATTGGAAGTACGCTAGTTCAGCTCTGAATGAATAATAGTCACAAAGTCATAATTAGATAAATACATTTTCAACTAAAAGTAATACAACATTGGCAGAGAGAGGAAGGAGAGTGGGTCTGAGTGCTAAGCCATTTCTGCTGTTACATGCAAGTAACAGACAACACCTAAAATTGGCAATAGTATTTAGAAACATGGACATAAACCCCAGAAGAAACAGATAAAAATGTTGCAGGTGGCAATTTCTGGAGGAAGTATTCCAGTAAAAGTTAGTGGGAGAGAATTAATTTTTTAAAATTACACACTTCATGATAATAAACATGTATATTATAAATCACATGTATGATTATATATGAGTACATATTTTATGTTATGATTTGTGTCTAGATGTTCCCCCAAAGCCTCACTCATTTGGGCTCCTGGAGTTTGTGATGGATTCATGGTCCCATCTGGGGCTGTGGGTGTGAGTGCTGCCCCTGCCCTGGGGAAGGCAGCCTGTGTACAGTAGAAGGCAGGGAAAGCTTGCTCTTGCTTTTTTTTTTTTCCAGAACAGGGGATTGAACTCAGGCCCTTGCGCTTGTCGGGATAATGCTTATTCTACTTAGCCATCTCCCCGGCAAGGCTTGCTCTTTCTGCTCCTCCCTTTTTGCTCTTGTTGCTTTTGCTGTCTTCCACTTCCATGAACTGTCGCCCTCTGCCATGTGCCCCCCTGCCTTGGAGCCAGCTGATTATGAACTGAAACCTCCACAAACTGTGAGCTAAATAAACCTCTCCTTCCTTAATTTTTCACATTACATATTTTATACCAGTAGCAGGAAAAAAAAAAGTAACCAAATACATTTTACAAGCCAGGTGTGCTGGTGTATGCCTGTGATCCCAGCTACACTGGAGGCTAAGGCGGGAAGATTACAAGTCTTAGACTAACCTGGTCAACTTAGTGGAATGGCTCAAAGTGAAATTCTAAAAGGACATAGGATGTATCTCAATGTGAGAGTGCTTCTCTGGCATGTTCAAGGCCCTGGTTCAATCTCTAGTAACATAGTTTTTTATAAATTATCTTAAACTATAATAAGCATGTCCATAAACCTGACCAGATTTATCCACATTTTCTTAATAGAGTGAACTAAAAATAGAAACAAAATATGTTTAAACTCACCAAATCTCAGCCTCTAGAAAACTAACTTTATATCAAGCCAAAGAAGAAAGGTTCAATTTAGAAATTAAAAGAAAAAAAAATTACCTTTCAAACCTAGTCAGGATATTCTTGGTAATAAACTCATAGCATGAATTGGTACTTTTAAAAAAATTGAACAATTTAAGATTATATATATTGACCTCCCAAAAGTCCATTAGAGAATAATTATGTAGAAGTAAAAATCTGTTCCATTGTTCTGGGGAGATAGCTCAGTGGCATAAACACTCGCCTGGCAAGTGTAAGGTCCTAAGTTCTATCCCTGGTACCAAAAAAACAAACAAAAAAAAATCACCTATTCCTCTTAGTAATTTTCTGTGTCTTCCTAACTTGTAAGCAGTTGGATTTTTACTTGGGGGGTGTCTGATTGCTTGTGTATTTTCAGGCCTTAAACACAGATAGTCTTAGAATATCAGCTCGCCTGAATGTACTGGACCAAGAGTTGTCTGAAAAGAGCGTGCAGCTCCAGAGCAGCACAGCTGAGGAGAAGATGAGGATCTCCGAGCAAGTCCACGCCCTTCAGAAGGAAAAGGACCAACTCCAGAGACGAAGAGACAGTGTGGATGAGAAACTTAAACGTGGCAGCGTGCTGTCCCCTGAAGTAAGTCCCTATTCTGTGGAACTGGAGGTGCTCTGTGGTAATGGGTGACGGCTCATTTCCATGGTCTCTGTTACACAGTCATAAACATGATGATGTAAACTTTGTTTCCTTGAGACTTTGTAGCTGTAATGAGTTCACCTGGCATCTATTTGGCACAGAAGTCATGCTTCTCATGATGACCACAGACAGATGAGGTCATGTACTAGCCCACAGATGTGGCCGCTTCAAGGCACTGCTGGACACTCAGAAATGAATACTTGCCCTCAGTATATCCTTTTCGGCTGGGGCTTCCCATCTGAGATCACAGAGCACAGCAGATAATGTGGGGGATCCTCCTCGGTTCTCCAAAGTACCTAGCGTCTCTGTGGGTCTTAGGACACTGGTAGTTCATGGTAGTTCACACCGCACTAGACGCCTATGCACAAAGCACACTGCTTTCCACAGAATGGGACTGAGCAGGGGCCAGCTGTTCCACAGGATGTCTAGACACACAAATGCACAAAATTCAAATTTCCTGACATATTTTTAGTTACAGCTTTCATTTCGGACAGCATATGCTCTTATTATTATTATTATTATTATTATTATTATTATTATGTAAAAAGATGATTCATTTATTGGCTATCAAATTGCCCTATACTTTGTCTTTTTAAAACTTATTTCAGTTGGTGATGGTCACAGTACTGAACTTTAACAGAGAAAGATAAATTTTGGAGGGGTGAGGTTGGGGGTGATGTTGAGACAGGATCTTACCATATACGCCAGGCTGGCCTTAAATCCACTATGTAGTCCATAGTGAATTTGGGCTTGTGGCAATCCTTCTGCCTTAGCCTCTCAAGTGCTGGGACCACTGGAGTGTGCCACTACACCTGGCCAAGGATAAATGTTTGAGCCTGAATTTTCTCTGCAAATTCTTATTGTTGATGTCCAAAGAAAGGATAAATTGCTAAGAAATGGCAAGTGACTGAATCTTGGAGTGTTTTAGATTGGGCAAGAAGAAAGCTGGGGGATGGTGAATAAGAAGACGAGAAGGGGTAGCATGGAGTTAATTATTTCTCACTGAACTGAGGAAGAAAACAGAAGACTGACTTCCTGGGGGCTGAGCAGCTGCTGAGGGAGTACTACACACGCAGCCTCTGCATGTGACCTGCCGGCCACAAGAGCCATTAGCACCCGCTGCCCTCCTGGGACTCGGGAGGCAGGGAGCCACAGGCTTTGTAGACTCACAGAAGAACGAGCCTTAGGTAGAGCAAGCCTGAGCCTTCAAAGATCTGTGCCTGCCCAGGACCATACTAGGCCTTAGGGAAGAAACAGTAAGACTACAGTATTATGTTTTCCTTGACAAATTCATACTTTCTCTGGGAAAAGCAGTGTACATAAGAGATGTAAGAAAATTCTAAATCACAAAAGACATAAAAACGCAAGTTGTTGTGATTACTACATGTGTGCAAACATGTAAACAGAACAGTGATCATTTGGGGAAAATAATTAAGGCAGGCTTGGGATTACAAGGCTAAGCTAAATGATAAAAAACACAGAACATACTGGCAGCTAGAAGCCCATTCCAGAGAAAGAAGGCATAGAGACAGGAAGGAGCAAATTATTACCGAAGGGTGAGGTCTGCTAATTATAAAGCAACATCAAGGCTTCTATTCTGTGTGGCGTTATTTCTGTACCTAACACAGTGTTACAGCACTGTGCACGATACTGCCTAGCAGCCACGCTCAGTCACTCTGAGGAGTGTGAGCCCCCCACACTTGTTGAGGCTCCTTTTAGTATTAAGAGTTTCCCTGTGTTCTTTTTTTATCTATGCATTCTATGGTGGGCTCTCTGTGTGTAGCCTCTTTTCTCATTACTGTTTTAAAGTCAAGATCAATATTTCCAGTTAGATCTGCCACTAGCAGATAATTGGAAACATGAGATTCTGAAGAGACACAAGACATCAATAAAATCTAGGTAGAATGGTCTGCTATTTTGATGTTAAGATTGCTTAAAATTATAGTATTTTTTCTTTCTACACTAATCATTTTTCCCTAATTGTATTACTTTTTAGGAAGTGATAGGCTTTTTTCTTTTTCTAGAGAGGATCTTGCTACATAGTTCAGGGTGGTCTTGAACTCACTATGTAGCCCAGGCTGGCCTCAGACTCGCATCCATCTTCCTGCCTCAGCCTCCTGAGTGCTGGGATTATAGGTTTGTGCCATCACACCCAGCTGGGAAGTGAGAGGCTTTAGACCACTATCCTAATAGAGGAGTACCTACAAATTTACTTTATATACATCATTTTTAAAAATGAACTTTAGTCTCACTCTTCTCCTCTTCCTTTTAAAATTTTTTCTCCCATTTTTCTTTCAGTACTGAGGACTGAACCCAAAGCCCTCACCTGAGCTAAATCTCAAGCTTTTTTTTTTTGAGATGGAGCTTAAGGCACTAAACTTACTCAGGCAGTCCTCCTTTCTCAGTCTTCCGCAGTTCTGGGATGACAGGTGTGTGCCACCAGCTTAGTTTTCTTTTTTAAATTATCATATATCTATGTGTGTGTCTATGTCTATATAGCTATACACCTACACACGGGGAACAGTATTGTAATTAATACATGTACACAAAGTGTAATGATCAGAGTAATCAACATTTTAATCTAATATTTTATGCTTTAAAAACCTCTGGGCTTTTCTAGTTATTTTGAAATGTAAAATAAATTGTTGTAGCTATAGTTCCCTATTATACAGTACACATTAGAACAAATCCCCCAGCTGTACTGTGGTACCTGTAAGCCAGCCTCTTGCCCTCCTATCCTCTAGTGACCACTGTTCGACTCCTTACTTCTGAGTGATCCCTGTTTTGAGCTTCTACAAGTGAGTGAGGACACGTGGTACTCGTTTCTCTGTGGCTGGCCTATTTCACCTGCCATAGTGTCCTTCCACTTCCACCCCTGCTGCTCCCAAAGACAGGAGGAGATGTGGTTTGCTAGTAACTCAGAGCTGCTCTGCCTCTAAGTGAGGTTCAAGAGGAAAATACAAGAACTGTTGTTTCTTTCATCTTTTAAACATTTAATTCCATGTTTTATGGTTAAATTTTAATTTATGGAGAATTATACATACAGTATTACAGTGCTCGCGCAAATGTTTTTTGTTAGCTTTTTCTCTACTTTTGCCTTTTAACGATAGGGATGGGTGATCTATGACATTTGGAGACCACGGCTTCAGGTCCTCATGGCTCACAGATTCTCTGTGGCAGCGGCAGTAGCAGCACAGGGGGAGCAGGCTGGTAGCTGTGCAGACCTCGGGACCCCCTTGCCCTCACTGGACATTTAAATCTGAAAAGCAGCACATTATGATAAAGCGTAGTCAACTCCTGACCTGTGGTTTCCCATGGCTACCTAGCTTGTCAGCCTGCACCTGCTGAAGTGTGGCAGCCACAACACTTCTGTTCTGCAGGCTCCACAGAGTGGGCTGTGGTCGAGGTTGTGTAGTCCTGTTATCGCCATACCGCCTCAGCTCAGATTGAAACCATAGAAAGTACACTTGTACCACCCATGTTGTTTTCAGCCATGAACAAAGGCAAACTGCACATTTTGGTTAAAATATAAACATAGTATGAATTCAAAAGTGAAATATATTCTTTGGATAATATACTTTTATTTTCTGGATTCTCTTATTCACCTTTCAATATTAAGATTTTTCTTAAAAAGGTGAATATCATTTTGTTCCTTATAGAACATTTGTGAAACTCGCAAGTTTCTCATGATTAGTGATTGCCCAGAGAAGCAGAATGGCTAGTGAACATTTTTGCCAAAATGGCTTTCAGAAGATTTTACAAAATGGCATTTAAAGATACTATTCAGTCCCCTACTAGGGTAGGTTATTACATTCATGTTTCTTGAATTCAGAAAAGGAACTCCAGAAGTCACTCAAACTATTCTTTAGGCAGATCAGAAATATATACATTATTTTCCTTTGGGATCCTGAGGAGTGAAGGGCCGGGGAGATGGCTCAGTGGAATAAGCTCTTCCCTGGCAAGCACAAGGGCCTGAGTTCAATCCCCGGTTCCACAAAAAAATAATAAATAAATAAATAAATAAA